CCTTTCGTCTCCCCCCCGCCCCTCCCAGGGGCCGGCGGCACCGCCCCGCCTGGCGAGAGCGGCCCTTCCGGACCTGCGCGGACGCCGCTGCCGCTCCGCCTCCCCTCTCCTCTGCCTCCGCCTCTGTCTCCTCCCGCCTCGTCTTCACCGCCTCTCGGTGTCTGTGGCTGAGAGACCCGCCGGCTCCCCGCGCCCCCTACACCGCGCCTTCCATGGGGAGCCCGCAAGGCAACCCCGGGCGGGGCGACCTCGGCCTGCTCGTCCTTCTCTTCCTTCTGCTTCTGTCGCCTGTGCGGGTGAGTCCCTACCGGGGGAGGCCGGGCCTCCTGGCACCGTAGGGAGGAAAGCAACCGGCAGGATCCCCCCCCCCCAACCTCCCCTCGGATGTTGCTCCGTGGCGGGGGGGAGCCGCGGTGGCCGCCTGAAGGGGGGAGTACCCGGGTGGGGAAGCGGGCTGAGGGAGGGGGCTGTCCCGTCAAGCCGGTGGGCTCGGGGCGGCGCGGAGCTGAGAGCGTGGTACCGGGGGTGTCTGTCCCCGTCCTCCCCCCCCCACCTTGTCCCCGGTGGGACTCTCCCTTTCCCTCCTCCTTCGCTCCGTGACTCGGTGCCGGGCGGGACGGCGCGGTGACACAGCAGGCCCGCCCGCCGGCACCTGGGGCGCCCAAGCGGGCGTGCTCGGGCTGTAGCAAACTTCAGGTGCTGGCCGGCCCTCGTTCCCCCGGTTTTACCGCGGGCAGCGGCGGGCCGGGGGCGCGGCGGGCCTGCGGTGTGCCCGGGTTATGCAATGGGCTGGGCATATGAGTAGCTGTCCGGCCAGTCACATGTTCCTGCGGGGGCTCGCCTGTGTCCTCGGTGTCGGGTCGGGTTCCCCCCGAGCGCCTCTTAGGCTCGGTGACAGCTCCTGGGGGTAATTAGGCTGTGCGTAGCGAGGGCTGCTGTTTATGGATGTGCCAACATTAAGGCTAGGCGTTTTCTTCAAACTGAGGGCTTGAATAAGTTGCACTTCTTGATACTTAAGAAAAAAAAAAACATAAAACCTTCACTCCTCTCCTCTCAGACACCTTTTGTTTATGCTGTAGTTCAAGATAGGCATGAGATACTCTGCATTCCTCTGGAGAAACAAGGAGTGGCTTGTAAGCCTGAGTGGCTTGTGTTTTGTTTTGGTGGTTGTTTTGGGTTTTGGTTTTTTTCCCGCTCTAACCTATTTGGAAACATACTTTCTAGATCCAGTTTTAGGCTTAGCCCTTCTTAAACTGACAAGTTTGTTATGCTGTGTGTGTGCTGAGGTTCTCCTATCCTTTTCAAACAATCTTTAAAGAGCTTGAACAGAAAACTAGGAATTAATTCTTCTATTACTACTGGAGAAGCTGATTGTTTACTAATGACTCATGATCTCCAGGTGGGTAGGTAATAGACTTCACACCTTATCAGCACTCCTTTATATAATGTGCTTGGAGGAAGATACCATCTTGTAGCAATGACACGTGTCCCAGGCTGGTAAGGAAACAACAAGATGCTTTCCTTTAGGTAATAGAAGGATGTTGAACTAGAGGAGCTTGAAACAAGTTCCCCTAAAATTTAGGGGATCCTTGTAGCGGATGTGGCTTTGTGGTCGATAAGAAGTAAACATAGCAAAATTACTTTAACCATGCAGGGTTCAGTTTTGTAAGAAGGCAAAACTTGAATTTTTTTTTGCCATTAACTCTTATTTACAGCCTGACACTCCACAAAGTGGACTTTAACATCCTTCAAAGAGAAGCTGGTCCTTCAGTTAAACTGAGCCTATGTAGTGTTAGATGGTTGCAGAAGCATTGTGAAGGTGGACCTGTTCTCTCCCCTGGTATACTGGTAGTGTAAAGTTTTCATGCTTTTGGTTTTGTGGTGTGCATAAACCAAAGTGCCATGTGTCATGTTTCCTCTTTTTAAAGAAGTCAGTGGACTAGAGTGGCATTTCAGTTCGCAATCCTTCCATTACATACACTTTCACAAAGAACTTGAAGCGTTCAGCCTGTGTAGGATGCATCTTCAACTCTGAACAGTGCATGGTACAAGACTTGTGCCAGCTAACTTGTTACTAGTTGATAGTTAACTACCCATTAATGCCATCTAAGAGCTACATTGAAAATCATGGCTCCTATAGTCCCATTTCTGAATGTAAACTTTCAGGAGGGTGAAGGCTTGCAATTGTTTTTGTTCTCTTACAAAGATCCTAACATACTGGGTGGCATCTTGTGTGCTTAATGGCAGCTGTTTGTGTTGATCCTTATATAATTATACTAAAAGACAGGCTGTCAAATTAGTGTCTCAGCAAGGTTGGACATAGGTTTCCTATCAGCAATTGAGATCCCAAGCTGCAGGATATATTTGAGTTCCTGAAATCCTATGGGAAGATGTTAATGGCAGGTGCTGCTCTGTTTCAAACTTGCCAAGTGGCCTGCTGTGCGATGTTACCTGACCTTGGGCACAAAATCCTGAAATGCCTTTGTGGAGCAACTTGTTTGGCAGTGATGGCAGTGTGGCTTCAGAACAAGACAGTAGTCTCTTAAGTCACTTCCTGGAAAATCAGGTGTGACTTGTTCATAGTCTTTCTGGGTGGAAAGTGAGGATGCCTTCTTAGAAGGGGAGAGGTGACTGAAGGGGATGGCTGGTAGAAGTGAGTAGTACTTTGCTGGGTAGTAGACAAAGCAATCCATGTTGTGTAATATTATTGCTATTCCTCTGCAAGTGCATCAGAGGTATTTTGGTGCAGATGGCCTTAGTTGCAGACAGCTGCTAGTTTGGGGCCCTGTGCTCTCTGATCATGCATGCAGTAAATGTGCATTTTCCCAATAAATCATTGTCAACTAACACCAGCTTGCTCCCACAGACACTGAACTGTTATCACTATTGCAACTTTCTACTTGACCTGGGCTTCTCTGTGAGATGTGACCTGTGCTTGGATAGCTCCAGAATTTGGGCTTGCTTTGCCTGACCAGGAGTAGCTAATGATTTTTCTGTCTGAAAGGGAAAAGTTCCTTACCTATGAGCAAAGGAACAAGAGGAGCTTGGCAGGCAAAGCTTGTCTCTGAACAAGTTACTGAAAGACACAAAGTAAGAGTAAGAATAAAGCCTGCAAAATTTCCTTTAGTCCATAGACCTCTTCCTCTCATAGGGAAGGCTATGAGGTAATGTGCAACTTCTGGGGCAGATCTGCAAACTTGACCTGGTCACCTGTTTCCATGAACAACTCTTGCCATTTATTAAGGGTAAAGTGGTAATATTTTTCCCTAGAACTCAATTTCTCAGCCTAGTGGGCAATATCACTGTTAAGTGTGATGTGGACTAGATATTAGGGGGTGGGAGGTGAGTGTTATGCTGTTTTCTGGAATCTTTCTTCTTGCCCTGCAAGATCCTAGATGAAGGAAGGGGAAACAGCTGTATCTTATGCTGTTGCCTTTTCCATGCATTAGTAATCTTAATTTGGAGAGCCAAACAATGCTCACTTGTCATCTGGTATTTGCAGGACTACAAATGGTTGCTGTTTCTGTGTACAACATCATCGTTGTTCTTCACTTAACAGCTACATATGCATTGTTGGTGATGGCTAATGTTGCTGGAAGCATTAAAGATTATTGATTTGTTTCAGCATGCAGTTAAAGAAACTTCGGCTGAAGTAAATGTATTTATGATCTATTGGAACATTAGTTTTATTACAAGCTAAATGATAATGCCTGGGAACCTGAAAGTTGTAACAGAACCTTTGAAGAATGCTGGGAGTCATGAAATGTTCATACTTGCTCATGTGCAAGTTTTTTACTGGGGCTTCTGGAGCTCTGACCTGAAGTGAAATTTCTCTTCAAACGGAACTTTTCTACCAGAAGTAGGAATACACTTTTCTTTTTCTGAACTCTGGGGATGTACTGAAGGGTAACGTTTGTGTACTGCCAGATGGTTTCTATGCTGTGCTGGGGCAGGAGGGAACAGCCTTAATTTAAGGTTATGTTGCTATTGCTTTGTAAAGCATTTAGGGAAGTGCCATTTTAAAATGTGGAACACCTAGCAATGTGATACTAAAAAAAAAAAGGCCAAACCCCAACCCTTTGTTAGTCTTTATGGAGTTTCTCACCTTGTTTAGAAGGCAGTTGGGTTCAATATAACAGTTCTTTGTTAATGTTGGGGCTAGGAGGTCTTTCACCCATTTAAGAAAGGTGATTGTTCACTGAAATCTTAAGTGACTTGGAAGTCTGCCTCTGCAAGCAGTAGCCTTGTTAACTGTGAGTTATTTACAACCCCACTGACTCGCCCCTATCTCTTCCTAGCAGTGTAGGAATGTTCTAAAAGAATGGGAAGAGCAAAGTACTTCTCTTCTTCTATAACTTTAGCTTTTACTAGAGGGTTATGGGGGGAAGAACCTCAGCTTAGATCTTATCAGTGGTAATGGAGTAGTTACTTAGTTACTAGTAGTATCCCTGAATACTCTCTGAACTCTAGGAGACCAGCCCTCTCACATATTTTGTGTCTGACTTGGTGATGAGTGTACTGTTGACTTGAAAATGTCTGAGAGCTATGTTGGTGACTTTAGGCTGCTGACTTTAAGTGACTTGTGATCTGTGATTTACAATGGTTGTACCATTGTTCAACCACTGTAAATCAAGGATCACCAAAGCTTACTGATTTGGGGAACAAATTCAGACTTATTAGTGAGATCCTGCTAAGTCATGGCATAAATACCTAATCTTAGATTGCCTCTGAAATTGAATTCTTGGTGTTAATACTGAAATAGGGTATTCAAACTTGCAGTTCTAGGTCTGAGTACTCTTTTAGTAGTTAAAATTAAATGATCTGTCCAGCTTTTCTAAACAGGCTGAAAGTTCGAGTAATAAGCATGTTGGTTTTTCCATTGTAGGTTTTATTGATGTGAAACTTCAGCAATATGGTTCTAAATTCTTCACTCAAATTACAAATGTAAACTGATACTAGTTCAAAACATCTCC